TTTGAGGCAGAACCTCACTGCGTAGCCTAGGCTGGCCTCAAATCCACGATCCTCCTGCCTCTGCTTCCTGGGCACTAAAACCGTAGACCTGGGCCACCACCACTACTTGACTAATTGTGTTTTTTTTTTTTATGAACTGCCCAATTTGTCCATTCAAACAGTTCTTTTCTTCCATTCTCACACTGTGTAAACACAACAGTTCAGAAAAGGAATAATGAATTTAGCTTTGAGGATTTACATTTAAATGTGGGAAACCAGGCATCCTTTTTAAAATTGATTTTTAATTGAATTCTTGTGAATTTCATATACTATATCTTGATCATATTTAGATTCTTTGCCATATCTGCACCCTGTTACAAACACCCCACTGAATTTCTGTATGCATACTGTTTATTTATTTATTTAGGCCTATAGAGTCAGGTTTGTTCCCAAATGCCCTTCGGTGTAGGTTCGTCCACTGGCACCTGGTTAACCAATTAAGAGTCTCATTTTTTTAATACTAAGAATCTTGGGAAAAAACTTATTGCTGAGTATTCAGATCAAAATTTCATGTCCTTTGCCTTGGTCAACATACCTAGAATTTGTTAAAGGGGATGTTTCAATCTGAATGTTTCTCTTTGCTGTTTTCTCACTTTAAATTTAATTAGGCTCTGTGTGGCAGGCCAGGGCTACCCAGTCTAGCCTAGGCTGTGCAGAATACAGAAGACACAGAGCAGGGCACTTCCAACTCTCTCTGTTGAGAATCGCGCACTAGACCACCTTCTGGAGAGTCCTTAGCCCGTATTTGCCACTAACCTTTTTCCTTTTAGATCTTTTTTCTTTTAAATCTTTAAATTCTTAATTCTGATTTTAAATTACAACATTCATGATTAAATTCATTGAAATTACAGAACAGCAGACAGCAAAAGAATTCACTTATTATCCTATTGTTCAGAAGGACAATAGTCAACTTTCAGATTAACCCATTCATTCTTTATGGGAGGAAACACGAACACAATACATACTCACATAATACATGTTTTTTGAGACATGGTCCTACAATGTAGCCTGGGATGCACTTGAATTCTCAATCTTCCTACTTCATCCTTAAGCCCACCCATCAGTGCTAAAATTACAGGTGTTTGCCCCCATGCCTTGCATATATCCATTTTATATTTAGAAATATCTAACATTTTGGGGGGCTGGAGGGATGGCTCAGCCATTAAGAACACTGGTTGTTCTTGCAAAAGACCCAGGTTCAAATCCCAGCACCCACATGGTAGCTAACAACTGTCCATAACTCCAGTTCCACGGGATCTGACAGCCTCTTCCGTCTTCCGCGGGCATTGCATGACGTGGGTGCACTTACCTACATGCAGGCAATACACGCATACACATAAAATAAAAATAAAAAATAAAAAATTTCAAAATATATAACATTTTTGAATATTTCACATAGCATTATATCACAAATATTTTATCTACATCAAGAATTCTTAGTACCATTTTCAAGCTATAAACTAAGTTACAGCATTATTGTCTTTAAAAAAATATTTTGGGGCTGGAGAGATGGCTCAGTGGTTAAGAGGACTGGCTGCTCTTGCAGAGAACCCGGTTCAATTCCCAGAACCCACATGGCTGCTAACAACTGTCTGTAACTCCAGTTCCAGGGGAATCCAATGCCTTCTACTGACCTCTACCAAGGACAGTGCACTACACAGGTACACTTACATACATTCAGAAAATACACATATACATAAAATAAAAAATAAAACTTTTAAAACTATTTTATTTTTTGTTATATGTACCTGTGTGTGGAGGAGAGGGATGTGCACATGAGTGCAGGTGGTCTGAGAAGTCAGAGGCATTTGATTCTCTAGAGCTGGAGTTACAGGTGATTTTAAGTCACCAGACTTGGATGCTGGGAATTAACTTGAGTCCTCTTGAAAAGCAGTATGCAGTCTTAACCATTAAGACATGTCTCCAGCCCCAGTGTTATCATCTTAAAAATGTTATTAGGGGATCAGTGGTTAAGAGACTGGCTGTTTGTATGGAGTTCTCAGGTTTGGTTCCCAGTACCCACATGGCAGCTAACACTGTAATTCCAGTTCCAGGGAATTGGACACCTTCTTCTGGCCTCTGAGGGATTGCACATGGTACAGGCAAAACACTCATACACATAAAATAAAAATAAATAAAAGTGATTTAAAAATAATTTCATTAGATAATTTAATTTTTATATAACAAAATAATTTCAGTGCATAAAATTAACCTATATCTTTATTTTCTAGAATAAATTATTTGACATGGAATTTTGCATTTAAAAGGGCATGTATTTTTAAGGCTACTGAAATACGCTGTGAAATTATAATACAGAAAGGGCATTTTGCCAGGTGTGGTGGCACATGCCTTTGATCCCAGCACTTAGGAGGCAGAGGCAGGCAGATCTCTGTGAGTTCAAGGCCAGCCTGGTCTACATAGTGAGTTCTAGGACAGCTGGGGCTACAGGGAGACCCTATCTAAAAAAAGGGGTGGGGGAGCATTTTAGCTTACTCCTACCAGAATACCATTTTTTTTCTTATCCTTGGTGTTATAAAGTACATTTCTTTCCAAATATTTGCTAATCCACTGGCCTTTTTCTATAATATAAAGCTGATTTTATTTGTTAGGAAATACTGTTCATAATGCCCTCACAAGCAATCACATAAACTGCAATGGGATTGCGCCATTTTCAGCTCAGTCAGAACAGTCCTCTGAACAGTTGTCATTTTCCAATGCCAGTTGTATAACACATATATTAGTGACTACTGGGCTAGAAAAAAAGACTACTAAACTCTTTACAATAATGTTTCCAATATGTTTTGATAACTACCTTATTTTACTTTAATTTTCATGAAAGGAAACATCACTTAAAATGTCTTTATTCCAACTAAAACATTTTCTTCCTTTTCTAAACAAAATAATTTAGATACTCTGAAATAATAAATTACCTTTCTCAAGATAAATAGACTTCATCACTCTCCTGTTTCTAATGCTGTTATATTAAAAGGCAGAAGAGACGTCTTCAGATCTTTCTTACAAACTGGCTTATTTATGTACAATAATGTTCTAGACTAAACTGGATTGGTAATCAGTGTCATTATAAAGAAAGTAAAGGAAGATTTAAGAATCAGCCTCTGTGAAATTAGTTTTAGGCAAATCTATTATTTAACAAATTTTATCTTTGCTCTTCACTCAACCAAAAAACAAAATAAAAAAGACCTTCCAAGCCTTACATTTATTCAAAATATGAGTCATAGGAACTTTGCAATATGCTGTTTATATAAAGTCTCTGCCCTCTAAGGATAAGACATCTTTAGGAGTAATGGAAAAGTAAGTGTACAAATATGGTGAGTGCCTATAAAAGATGGTGAGGTCTAGAAGACAACATAGTTGTCTGGATGTAAACAAGTAATGCTTCAGCATCTCTTGAAGGATGTGGACAGATTTTACGCTAAAAGCGTAGAGGGATACTTAAGACAGGAGCAACACAACAGGATCAGGAATTCAGATGGGCGGCTACAGTCTCTTTGAAGGTCAAGAAAACAATTTAGCCAGTGGTAAACGAGACTGGAGATTTGAGAGCATCTCAGCTCATGAAGGGCCCTGTGGGCTCTGTTAAGAATATGAAGAAACAGGTTTGGGTGAGGGGTTAGTGGTAAGAGTGCTTGCTGTACAAGTATGAGCTCCTAACTTTGAATCCCCAGCACCTGTGTAAAAATGGCGTGGCTAAAGTTACCTAACCCCAGTGCTGTGGGAGTGGAGGAAGGAAGGTTACTGGGGCTCATAGGCTGCTGGCACAAGCATGTGCTCACATAACATACATATACACACACACAAAGGGAGAGAGGGTGGGGGGAATATTAGGAACCCATTAAAAGATGTTATGCAGAGAAATCACTTGTACATATTTTTGATTCAGAAACATCAATGGGACCTGAGTGGATGGCTTAGTCCATAAAGTGCTTGTCAGGCAAACATGAGGACCCGAAGTTGGATTCCCAGCACCCATTTTTAAAATAATACAGCAGGGTGTACCTGTAATCCTAGCCTTAAGGAGATAGACACAGGAAGAGCCTTGGGACTTCCTGGCCAGCCAGTCTGGATAAATGGTAAACTCCAGATTCGGCAAAAGACCCTTCCTTGAAAAAATAAAGTGGAGAGTTATTGATGAGGACCCCCTCCATCAACCTCTGGCCTCTACACGTACATATACCTGTGCATCCCCCACATGTACACACACAAACATGTACACACATATGTGCATGCACAGGAAGAGATGATCAATAGACGGTATCTTTGTGGAGTTGCAAGACAACATTGCTATGTTTCCATCTGTATCATATGCATTCCCATATCTGTAATCATTATGCACAGCTCCCCAGGAATGTCTATGAAAGCTGTAAGAAGGAGGAACACAGAACATGTCTTCTTTTGTCCTTGTCATTTACACAAATAGAAACCTTTCTTTTCCAAGTTTGGAAATACATTGTTTCCAAGAACCTCATGGATTAGATTTCCCATTCTTTGTTAAATTTCCAAAATAACAGATCTACAAAACAGGAAATGTTTGCCAGGAAATTATAATTTGATCATTTCTAAATTCATTTTATTGATGTTCTTCCCCCCGCCCCCCGCCTCCACTTTTCCTGATGCAGCTAAAGAGCAAATGTCAAAACTCAGTCAATATTAAGATATATGTCCAGGAAGAATATCGGGAAAATGTTGAACAGAGAGAAAATTAGTTGAAATAATTTCTCTATGACAGTTTAACCAACACCACTTTATTTCGAGGATCACCTATTTGACCTGGCACCACGATTGAGCTTATTTTCTGTCCTTTGTGGAAAGTCCTCAAGCAGTCCTTGCTCTTAGCATTGACGTTACCATAGCTTAGTTTCTTAGATTAAGCATTTCCACCAGATTCAGTAAGGTTCATAAATTATACACAGATGCTTCGTTCCGCATGCTTTAGTACTTACCTATGAATCGGATGATCCTTCGGAGTAAGGGGTTCAGGTAACAGCATTCTCCAGTTAGGATCATTTTCTCTTCAGCAATCAGAGATTCCCTCGTTGACTTTATGAAATACATGGATATCTCACCAATAAAAATCTGGGGAAGGAATATTTAAAGACTGTCAAGAGGTAGGGTTGTTTGATTAAAGACAGACAAGTAGCTTTTCCACAACATAGCTTTTGAGGATTCACAGTCCTTTATAAAGAGATCAAGTTGGTTAGGGAGACAGATGTTAAGTAGTAATTTGTGTTTATATTTAATTCTTCAAAAGAATTGGAGAAAGTAAGATTTGATCATTTCACAAGTGGCTCAGGGCAGGATAGAAATGCAAATTGAAAGTTTGTAGTACAGAAGGTCAGTGGCAGGATTGGATAGTAACTCTCTCTGTAATTTGCAACGATGAGGAATGAGTCCAAGAAAGCATTACATATACATCTTGCGCCATACATTGTTACTTGCATTATCAATCCTTCTTTGATCATCTTTGCCTGACGTATGCTTCTCTCATACTGAAATGTTTTGATTGTCCCTCTCTTTATTGCAGCACTCATTTCTTGTTTCTTGAGCTACTATCCTTTAAATTATAATATCCTCACATAGATTGTAAGCTCCTTAAGGTCAGAGTCCACAAGTGACATTTAAAACGTATTCTGATAGCACCCAGCACACTATACTGCCATTTAAAATAATCAGCATGAGGTAAGTTTTAACAAATTCTAGTACTACTACAAATGAAGGCTGAGGCTACTGACAGAGTCAAAGTTAACAATTACCATTGCCGATTAGATGCTAGGTGTATGACACTTCCGCATGTGACCTGCTCAGATCTCTAGCCTAGGAATAATTACCCTTGCCTTCCTGGAGAGGAATAAAAGTTCTTTAAAGCCTACAAACAGGAAGCACGAGGGTCATCAGCCCAGTCACCTGGGCTCAAAGTCCACACTTCCTATCATAGATTTTGGAAAAAATTTTATGAATGTTTTAAGAATCCCCAAGCTTTATAGTTTTGCCATTACAGACTATCTGCTTAGGAGGATAAAAATGATAACATCATAGAAGATGCTTGAATAACAGAAATGAAAGTATAAAATTTCAAAACTGAAATCATTTATGTGTTTGCTCCTTCCCTTGACTGCCAAGGACACTGATGGTCTCAGTGACCCATAGCCAAGTCATAACTGACACAGTTCTAGAAGGTGGTGGATGATTCTATTTCTACTTTACCATTTAATATTATACTGTGACATCATGTGAATGTTTTAGTGCCTAAGAATCCTGCAGTTGAACTGGAGAGATGGCTCAGCAGTTCAAAGCACTGGCTGCTCTTTCAGAGGACCCAGGTTTGGTTCCCAGCACCCACAGGGCAGATAATAACTGTTCCTCCTGTTCCAGGGGGAATTCTTCTGACCTCCGTGGGCATTACATGACATGGGTGCACTTACATACATGCACATGTGTACATTCATACACATAAGATAAAAATAATAAATAAAATATCCATGTTGTACATTGCCTATGGAGGTCAGAAGAAGGCGTGGCTGGAGAGATGGCTCAGCAGTTCAAAGCACTGGCTGCTCTTTCAGAGGACCCAGGTTTGGTTCCCAGCACCCACAGGGCAGATAATAACTCTTCCTCCTGTTCCAGGGGGAAATCTTCTGACCTCCGTGGGCATTACATGACATGGGTGCACTTACATACATGCACATGTGTACATTCATACACATAAGATAAAAATAATAAATAAAATATCCATGTTGTACATTGCCTATGGAGGTCAGAAGAAGGCGTCAGATCCCCTGGAATGGAAGTTATGAACATTGTTAGCTGCCATGTGGGTGCTGGGAATCAAGCCTGGGGTCCTCTGCAAAAGCAGCCAGTGCATTTAATGATGAGCCATCTCTCCAGCCCCAACTATTACTACTTGTATTCCCTCCTAGAAGCTAAAATTCGCTAAGGAGAAAACAAGCATCAATCTGAATTTTATATGAGAATGGAAAAATGAAGACTAACATCTTATATGGCCTCAAAGATTCATGCTTTCTCAGAGATGACTATCAGGCCCCTGATGTCCCTGTAGTCCATTGAATCTTTTGGAGTTCTCCTGATCGATGACCTTCCTCCTTGGAGATATGCTAATAGGATGGTGTGAAGTAGACAGTGATGGTCCAAATTCACATTAGAAAAAAAATGGGGATAAGAAAATAAAAACAACTTAAAATAGAAAAGACATTAAAATCACAAGTTTAGACGATTGTGATAGTAACAAGCCAGTTTAATTCTTTTGATAGAATGCTGTTTTAAAAACTTCAGTAGTTATTACTCTAACCGTAAATTTATTATAACTACAGCAGAGCCAGAATACTTTTTTTTGAGACAGGGTCTCATGTAGCCCAGGCTGGCCTTGAACTGGCTACTAGCCAAGGATGACCTTGAACTTCTGATCCTCCTGCCCCAACCTGACAAGTGTTGTGATTACAGGTGTGCATCACTACACCGGGTTTATGCAGTGCAGAGCATTGAACACGGGTCTTTGTGAATGTTGGGCAAGTATTTTACCAACTGACCTACATCCCCAGCACCAGAATACCTTTTGAAAACTGCTGAACAAAATCATCTTTAGCTTTAAGAGCACTGTATGCCACAGCATGCACAAACATACACACAAACATGCGTGCACACACAATAATGGAATTAAAGTTTTTAAGTGAAAACTGATGAAAGTTTGTACTTTCAGTCAACACTCAAATCCCAAATGAGGTATGAAACAAAAACATCAGAGCAAGGGTGTATTTCAATCTATAAAAAAAGAAAAGGGAAAAAAGACAAAATACAAATTTGAAAATGTAGCCGGATATTGACATTGTGTGGAACATGCTAAGTGGTAACGAATGCTTGCATATGTAATACAGGAAGGAAGGAAGACAGAGAAAGGGAGGGCATCATTTTATAATCAAGGGGCAGTGATAGAGCTATCTATATCTATATATCAATATAGACATTACTGCCTCTTGAGTTATATATATTTATATGTATATATGTATGTATGTATATATATATATATATTCCTGTCTTTTAGTAAAATTTTAGTGGACATGAAGTTGCTGATGTGCAGTCCAGCTCCTGTCCCACTGAGTGGGCTTCCTCTTCCTAACCACACACAGGTTGCCTTTACTATTTCTCCATTCTCTGTGTCTTGTAGTCTCATAGAGGGGCAGTTTTTGCCCAGAGAATGGAGGACTGGGAAAGTAAAGGATTACTTTCTTGTGCCAAGCCTGCAGCACACGTTGGATGCCATTTTGCTCATGATGGCAGATTGGTGACTCTGGTTTTGGCAGTGGCTGGGTTCCTCCATCTGTACCTCGGCAATATCATTCCATCTCAATTCATCATCTGTGCAAAGAGCAGCTGGGGCACAAGGGATGTCCCGTGTGTTTGGTCCTGGCTGCCTTTCTTGTTCCAGCCTCTCTGATTGTTGGCTAATGAAGTCCATATCAATCATGGCAAATTAGAGTGTCCTCCAGTGACAAGTGGTAAGGCCAAACTGGCAATGAATGAACTGTAGATAAATTTCATTAGTGCATTTTCATTTTTCTAGCTATGCCAACTACAAGCCTAGGTGACATGTGACCTTCAGATCACAGTGAGTAAACTTTAAGTTATGAGGGCAATTGGTGTCCTTAAGAGTCATCTTTCACATACAGAAACCCAAGTGGCAACTACATAAACAATATCTTTTATGTTGTATTTATTCACAAAATGAAGAAAATTAGTTTTAAAATCAACAGGTAAAATTATATGCATTTATCAGGGTTAGAATGATGATTTAAAAATTATTATTTATTTTTATTTTATGTGTATGAGTGTATACCTGCATGTATATTGTGCAGTGCCTGAGGAAGTCGGAGGAGGGCGTCAGATCCCCTGGAATTGGAGTTATGGATGGTTGTTAGCCGTCATGTGGGTACTAGACTTTGAATCTAGTCCTCTGCAAGAGTAGTTTGTGCTCTTAACCTAACTGCCTGATCCATCATTTCTTAGTGATCCTTTGTATTTCTGTTGTATCATCTCATTTTCATCTGACTTGTAGGGTCTTTTCTCCTTTTTAAAAAAGAGTTAAAGCTGGACTGGCTGGTCAATGTGCTCTGGGAACCCACCTGTCTCTGCCACCCCCAGTAGGGGTTATAGACAGGTACCCAACTTTTATGAGGATGCTGGAGACTGAAACAGTCCTCACTTATCAACTCTCCTAATTAGTTCCAGCTGTCAACTTGACACAGCCCAGAGGCTGAGGGAGTCTCAATTAGGGGACTCTCTTGATCAAACTGGCCTTTGGACATGACTGTGGAGCATTTTACTGATTGTTAATTGATGGAAGAGGGTCCAGCCCATTCTAGGACGTCTTATTCCTAGGCAGGGCTGGATAAGAAACCTAGGCTCATGGAACAGAGTGGAACAAGGGGTAGAGAGAACATTAATGCATCTCTCAACTCTCATCAACAAAGCTCCCTCATGCAACAGAGGGCCATGAACATAATAGGACACAAATGGCCAAAGTGTAGAGAATAAGAGTCTGCAGAGTGTGGGTTCTTGGACAAAACTCCTGTATTGAACCTCACCCACCCAGGGCTCAGGGACTATTGTGGAAGAGGTGGCAAAAAGACTGTAAGAGCCAGCGGAGGCAGTGCATGACCATATGGAAATAGAATCTTACAGGGTCCTGGGACCCTGCTCATATGAACCTACAGCAATGGTATCAGAATGCACAAGACCCATTCAAACTCCAGCTGATAAAAACCCAGGCATAGAACTGTGGGATTGGGCAGCAGTCCCCAGTCTTAGCTGAAGAACTATTGGCAGTTGATTACTGTGTGTGAGGAAGAGCCGCTGATCTTCTTAAATGAAGGGGCTCTAGATAGGCTGACTAGACTTCAGTGGATGAACTAACTTGACTCGATAGGCCTTAACAAAAATGACAGAATGCATGAAATCCAGTTGTGTGGGGGGCTATGGAAGGGTGCTGATGGGGAAGGTGTTATAAAGATGATTAAAATGTTCTGTGTGTTGGGACTGGAGAGATGGCTCAGTGGTTAAGAACA